TTCTTTCCCTTGTAGATATCCTTTGTAATGAGAATTTTTTATAATGAAAAGTTTTTTAAAAATTTTGAGCAGAAGAGGGAGTTATCAGATTTGCAGAAAGACTGATCAGAATTGGCACAGCAATGTCTTTCCCGTGATTGTTAAGATAAGAACAAAATTGTTGTCCTGGGGAAGCAACAATAAAACAATTGTTTTCTTCTGTTCTGAAAAACGTTGCTTTGCTATTAAAGAAGAGAGCACATGAGAGAATGAGGGAGGGAAAAGAGAGGAGATGGTTACTACGTGTTTTTATACATCGAGTATGAACCAAGCTGTGCCAGATACTGTGATGAGTTTCAAAAATAACACACGACAGGAACCTGTCGTTGTGTTGCTTGCAGTCTGCAGTACTGGGGCCAGGCTGTGACACAGATAGAAGGCCTGGCCTCCAGATGTCTCTGGATAAGGACCTGCTCAGATTGGGATTCCAAATTGAAGGCCACAGTGCAGAAACTCTGGGTCTCAAATGGGAGAGAAAAGAGAGTTGGTCAAATGTGATAGGCTATTCTCTTTTTTCTCCCACTTTTTTTTTTAGGGCTTGTGCCTGGCCTTGTCAATTTAGGAAACACCTGCTTCATGAACTCCTTGCTTCAAGGCTTGTCTGCCTGCCCTGCTTTCATCAAGTGGCTGGAAGATTTTACCACCCAGTACACCAGGGATCAGAAGGAGCCCCCTCCTCAACAATATTTGTCCTTGACACTGTTGCACCTCCTGAAAGGTATCTACCTGGGAATTTGAAGGGGATCTATGCACATTTTTAAAGAAGTCCAGATGACAGATGAAGGTTTAATAGCCTTATTATAGAAAACGATCATATAGATTGTTATGAAAAAAACACTAAAAGCCCAATAGAAGCAAACAGCTATTTTTTGGAAATCAAAGGTGGAACCGCTTATTTAAAAAATTGTGAGTTTAGTAACAGCTTTTTAAGGAAGGGAAAAAAATCCACTGCCACATAAACACTTTGATTATAAGAAGTACTCTGATTTAAAAAACATTAAAGTAAAAGCAAAAAATGTGCCTTAGCCTAGGAAATAAGGTAATTCACAAAAGAAGTGATACAAATTGCTAACAGACACTCAAATGTTCAACTTCACGATCATCAAAGAGATATAAACAAAATAATAGTGCCATTGTTTTGCCTGTCAGCAAAAATTAAAAAGCAAATGCACAGCCCTGGCCAGCTGTCGGATGGTGTGTCTATATGCTGCTGCTGAGGGTGTAACTGAGTGTACCCTTTCTGGAAAGCAGTTTGGAACCACACAGTAATAGCTTGCAAAATATTTAGTACCACTTGACCTACTAATTCCATGTCGGGGAGTCTGTCATACAGAAATAGAAACGTGGACTGTAATTTAACCAGCCTGGAAAATGGAGTCCTAAAAGCAGACAAATTTGGGAGTGGCTGAATACTGGCCCCCAACTTGGAGAGTCACGGCATACACTGGCTTGGTAAAGGTTTTAAGAAATAACCTATTCAAGTTCATTTTTAAAGCAACATTTTTGACTATAGAACTGTTTGTTTTTTTCCCCCATAACATCTATTAACATCCCATGGACATTATACAGAACACAATGTATGCACAAAGACCTCCAACACCTAATTATAAAGGCAAGAAAGGGGAAAGAATGCAGATGTCCAATAGAGAATGGTTAAGCAATCAATGGCATATAACCATTAAGAATCATTTTTATGCTGTCAAAGGTGAAGGTAGAAAAAAAAACTAAAAAAAAAATCATTTTTATGAAGTGTTTTTTTTTTTTTAATTTGGGAGAGGGTATAGGCTATAATATTAAAAGAGCAAGATACAAAATATGATATAATTTGACTTCATCAAGAGCAAAACTTCCACGGATCAGGCCGGGCGCGGTGGCTCACGCCTGTAATCCTAGCACTCTAGGAGGCCGAGGCGGGCGGATTGTTTGAGCTCAGGAGTTCGAGACCAGCCTGAGCAAG